AGAGAGATAGAGAGAGAGAGAGAGGTCTTGCTCTTGCCCTGGGGAGCTCCTGCAGTGCAGGCTGGTGGCTGGGTCATTGTCCTTAGCACGCAGCACACAGCCCCATGAAGTCTCCATGAAGGAGCATATGAATGTGTGAATGCTGGCGGGCTCCCCAGGTAGCACTTGTACCTCTCCTGCCCAGACTGAAACCTCACACAGCCTTGTGAACCAGAAGGAAGCCTTCCAAGCCGTGGGCGCTCATGGGAGGCGGCTGTGGGAAGCTGGGCTCTTCCTAGGGTGCAAAGTAGCAGAGACAGTGTGGTAAGAAACGCGGTGGTCTGGGCCTGGGAAGTGGAAATCTGATAACAATTTGGAAAAGCAAAGCTCAATGCAGATGACTGTATGAGATTAGAGCGAGCTCAGAGAAGTCTTCTGGAGGGGCAGCTGCCATGTGGGGGAAGCAAGAGTGGATGAGGGAGGCAGGAGAACAGCTGGATCAAAACTGGAGGAATAAAAACTAAAATACCCTTGGAGTAAAGATGGAGACAGAGGAGTATTTCTTTACTTGCAGATAAAGCAACTTCATGGTAAAATGGAGACCGTAGAAACTGCACTCCTGGGAAGGCTGGGTCGGCCCTGCCCCATTTGCCCAGGACTGCCACACTGAAGCACCAGACACTGAGTGGCTGAAATGACAGGATCTTACTATGTCAAGGTTCTGGAGGCTGGAAGTTGGAGACCAAGCTGTTGACAGGGCTGTCCTCTCTGTGAAGGCCTTCAATGCCTTCCTTTTAGCATCAGATGTGACTGGTGGTCCTTGGCACTCCACGGTTTGCTGACACTTGGCTCCAGTCAGGCACATGGTGCTCTTCCTTTGCAGTTCTCCCTTTACTTATGAGGACACCAGTCATGTTGGGTTAGGTGCACCCTAATCTAGTGTGTAGGATTAAAGTGAACCCTAATCCAATACAACCTCATCTTAATTTGATTACATCTACAAGCACCATATTTCCAAATAAAGCTGCATTCACAGGAATTGGTGGTTAGAATCTCAATACCTCTTTCGAGGAGACATAGTTCAACTCACAACAGGCACTTAGATGGGTCCTGTAATGTCATATGAACACCAGTGCATTCCAATGGGCTTCTGCACTTCACTGACTGATAGGACATTTGGATATTTTAGTGGGGTAGGGTAAAAGGCATTATCCTGAATAAACCCCATGTTCTATAGCGAGTAAGACCTGGGTCTCAGGGCAGGGATATAGCTCAACAGCTTAAGTGCCTGCCTAGCAAGTGCAAGGTCTTGAGTTCAATCCCCAGTATGGGAGGGGAGTGGGTGGAGGCTAGAGAGAGGGGAAGAGCTGGGCTGTCCTGGCTGATTTCAGGGAAGCCACCCCAACCAGCCCTGTCTAGCCTCAAGCAGTGGTTGAGGTTTGTATTTGTCATAACCTTCCCCAGAGACAGAGAGATGGACATTTTCTTCTCAAATCCCTGGGATGTCCATTATTTCAATTGACCTTATGCATAATGAAAGAGAGATCACTTTCTGCATATTGCCTTACATCATTACAAAGGCTGAACAGAGCAATTAAAAAACTAAATGCAGTTTTATGACCATCTGGGTATTGTTACCATCTTCATAATCATTAGATTTAGCACAAGAGATGTATTAATTAGATATGTGAGGAAAAAAAGGTGGGGAGTGGACCAGATGTGAGTACCTGTGGTCAGGACCATTCTGATCAGGACATATTATAACTTAGCCTCAGAAGTACCAACATTCTAGGGGAATTAAACTCACTTTCCTATAGTTAAACAAAGAATTCATTAAAAGATTACTAATTTCCTCTTATCTCTAGCTATTGGTAAACTGCTCTCAACATGCACAGGACATCAAAGAAATGGTGTTGGATTCCTTTGAAAATGAGAAAACACTGTAGACTAAGACTTTAAAACTCACAGAGAAAGTAATACACCAAAAATAGTGATAAGGAAATACGGTCCTATTTCCTAGGTGGGTCATTTCCGTTTTTGGGGAATGAGAGAATAGAGAAATATAGGACATTAGAACCAGAAGGAAGATCTAGATGAGGCTTGGAGAAGCTGTGCTTTCCAGATGCTCGTGCAAAAGCCTAGGTTCAGCCACTTATCCCCCACAGCCTAGGCTGGCTGGGGGCCTTGGGTGTCTTTAGATTTGGAAGACGTTCTTACGGGACTTCAAGTCTGACACAAGAGCCTGCCATACAAGCATGTCTCTGACTCCTGGAATCTCATTTTCCTTTAGAGAAGCCTGACTCTGTCACCCTGTGGAGCTAGACAAAAGGCAGTGGCCCTTGCTGCAGTCAGCATGGCTCGGCATCACACCACAGGCCCCACATCTATCAGATGGAAGCACCTGCAGAAAAGTGATTTGGCAGTGCCCAGTGACACCAGCATTGCCCCACAGCAGGCTTAAACACTTTTCTGTCCTTCTGTTTGTGGTGGGTATTCTTGGGAATGATACACACAGAGCCTTGCTTTCTGCTCTTGACTCCACCTGGAAGGCCCAGTATAAATGGCAGAGTGGGTTCCTTCAGAATACTGGAGTAGGATTAGCCATGGCTTTTGAACTTCTTTGGGTGGGACCTTCCGAAAAAGGCATCTGCGCTGTGGGCTAGTATCTGCATTTCTCTCTATGTGCATCTCTATAGTCCTAAAAAGTCTTGCTTTGATGAAACGTCATCAAACACTATCAAACACTATTGTGCAGTGAATAGAATGCCTGCCATGCCCCTGCCCATAGAATGAGAAATTAGCTGTGCTCAATTCCAGTTATTTAACATTCACATTAGTATCAGTGAGTTAGGAAAAAAATGTGTTATATTAGATATTGACCTTGACAGTATCTATAGAGTCAAAGGTTTAACCTTCAGGATTACCGTTTTGCCCTTGGAAATCGATGAAATCTGCATCCTGGTTCAGGTTCTGCTGAAATTAGAGCCTCCATCCCAGTATAGGCTGCAATACTCATATTAGTTAATGTCCTCATCTCTTGCACATCCCTGAAAGTCTGGGCTGCTTTCTGTGATCAATATGTATTCTTTATGTTGAAACTGATTTCTGTGGTTTCTTGTAGGTGTCATACAGAGTTCAGAACACTGGCACCTGGAGGATTGTCGCTTGGATGGCAGCTGTTTGGGTATTGTCCTTCTTGACGAATGGGCCAATGATTCTGATTTCAGAGTCTTGGAAGGGGAATGCCACTAACGAATGTGTACCCGGATTTTTCAATACGCGATATATCGCTGTCTTCACGTCCTTATTCGAATTCCTGGTCCCCATCTTCTTAGTTGCTTATTTCAATGCATTTATTTACTGGAGCCTGTGGAAGCGAGGGAACCTCAGCAGATGCCTTAGCCACTCGGGACTCCCCTCCGCCTCTTCCAGCAATGACCACGGCTACTCCTGCAGACCGGACCCGGGTTTGAGGGTGACTCTTCCAGCACAGAAAGAAGCAGCTTCCTCCCTCAGCCCAGACAAACTACCAAGAAAGAGCAGTCTTTTGTTTCCCATAAGAGCCCACAAGAACCGCAGTATGGTTGCTTCCAATATGAGCTCCCTGTTTCAGTCAGAGTCCCAGGCTCTTCAGCAAAGAGAACATTTCGAACTTCTCAGAGCCAGGAAATTAGCCAAGTCGCTGGCCGTTCTTTTAGGAGCTTTTATCATTTGCTGGGCCCCCTATTCACTGACTACAATTATTTATTCAATTTTTCCCAAGAAGAAATTTACTCAATCAAACTGGTACAAAATAGCCTTTTGGCTCCAGTGGTTCAATTCCTTTGTGAATCCCTTTTTGTATCCATTGTGTCACAGACGTTTCCAAAAGGCTTTCCTGAAAATATTGCCTTTGCGAAAGCAACCCATGCCATCACACAATCGCTCGGTATCCACATGATAGAAGATAATGCTCTCACTTCTGTTGATTTTAGTCATAAGCTCCCCTAAAAGAGTTCGCCCTTTCCACTTCACCAAAAAGTTCATAGAACTGTAATATGTGACCATTAAAAAAAATCTAAACCTGCAAGTCAATGGAAAATGAATAAAGTCTAGTGATAATATTTTTGTAAATAGCCACAAAGTAACTAGTATTTTTCTTAGTCATAACCTCTTCCTGATTTTGTAGATCTTGATGTAACATTGATTGTGAAATTCTAGTTTCTGTTTTCCATGTTCAATGTTTGCTACAGCAGTAGGTTTATTTCTTTAAAAATTATGTAGTAGTGAAATAAGGATATCTAGTTAGAAAATCATTCCCTAAAGTAGGCAGTAGAGAAAAGAACTTCACTCCTGGGGGTGGGTAAGTGAGTTTGGGTTTGAGTTAGCAAAACAGGAAGTAGGAGTGAGCCCCGGTGAGCTCCTAGTTCCAGACTTTATGGATGTGGTCTCAGGAAGGGGGAGGCATGCAAAGCCCTGGTGATCAGAGAAGGAGGAGGACCAGGAGGACAATGAGGAGGAAAGGGACAGGGAAAGGCCAGCCATGGTTTGAAGAACAGCTTGTTGCACTCCTTCCTACCCTTTTCTTCCAACTTTCCCAAAATGTGTGAGCGAGAAAGAGAGGAAGGTTAAGAAATGGGGAAAAGACTATACGATTAAAGTAGATATACTTAGTAGTGGATCTCTTGCCTCATGAGGATAGAATAAAAAGGGTGCCCTCTGCTGGCCAGGAGGACTCAATCAGCTAGTCCCATCGTCTTGGATTTCCCGTCTTCAGAGAGGTGGGAAATTAATGTCTGTTGTGAAAAAACAAAACAAAAGCCCCTAGTAGATATCAATAATTTTTTTTTATTTTAAAGAGAATAAAAATTAAAAGAGATACAAAATTTCAAAACAGTATTATCTCCGTAGTGTAAGAAACTGAGAAGTAAATAAAATCTGAAAAGCACAATAGATATTGTGAAAGAGACAGAAACTGCTCAAAGGAAAGAACATATGAGATGAAGAGAAAAAGTATATGCACACACACGATAGCTAAGATAATATATTACTATTTTCTATTGATTTGTTGATGTCAATAATTATTAAGAAAATGTTGTATTTATTGCTGTTTAGCTCATTTATCCAATACTTTATGTTGTAAGGCTCAGGGTTGTTCCTTTGTTATATAGTTAGTGTAGATTATGCTTTATTGATGACTCACATTTTATAAGTTTAGTGAACTTTTTAAATTTTTGATAGTTCTGTTTTTTATTGTCATATGCTGGTCTTTTTTCATAAACCTTTACAGGTTTTTTTTTTTTTTCTTCTTCTTCTTCACAACAGACATTAATTTCTCCCCAGTGTGGATGCTGAAAGTCCCAGATGAAGGGGCCTCTGTCTTTATCTGATTGTTTTCCAGAGAGTCCTCCTGGCCAGCAGATGGCTTCCTTTCTATTATATCCTCACGTGGAAGGGGAAGGTGGTCAGGGAACCTGGGCTCCTTCCTGTCTTATAGTAGCCTTAGTCCAGTCATGAGGACCCCTCTGTCATGAGCTCATCTAAAACCAAGTGTTTCTAGCAGTCCCCGCTTGTAGATACCCTCACTTTGTGGGGTGAGGTTTCAACAGGGGCATTTTGGAGGATATAAACGTTCGGTCTCTAACATTATATTTATCAGAAGCTTTATTTTCCATTGTTTCAAAACTTGTCGGTGGTACTTATTTATGGTTTTCATTTTCATGCTACAATTTTCAATGTTGGGTTTTTATTGACTTGAATATTGAGAATGTAGTTGTTTAATAATCAGTATCTGCTAGCTCCAATATCTGGAGTCCCCATGGACTGTATTTTGTTATCTGTTTTTCCTGCTAAGTCTTTCTGAAAGTGTCTCATTTCCTGTGTCCTTGATTTTAAAAAAAGTTATCTACTAAGCATTAAAAATGTTTATTATGACGTGTTTGCAGTGCATGAGTCCGTTCATCGTGGGGAGTCTCTCCTAGAAGATTTTTATCAGCATTTCTTCTATAACTTCTCGGAGTTCTTACATAGTCCAAAAATTTTTCCTATTTTAGACTTTTTAACTATTTGATGAATTTCAAACACTATAATATAGAAATCGTTTGAATGCATCAGTGCTTAGAAATGTACGTAAGTTTTACTTATGCTTATGCCTTCCATTAAGTAAGAGATACATGTTTATCTTTTAATTTTTTAAAATATTTTTAAAAAATTATTTATTTGTGCATTTGGCACAGGGTCTCACTCTGCAGCTCAGACTCTTAGTGATCCTCCTGTCTCAGCCTCCCCAGTGCTGGGATTACAGATGTGCACTACCACACCCATTTTCAGCAGCCAGCTCCGCGCCTGGGGCGGCGTGGCATGCGGAGCTGGGGTTGGAGCCTGGGCTCTTGCATTTGCAGAGTAGGTGCTTAGACAGCTGAGCTATCTCCTTGGCCCATGTTTAGAATTTAATAACAACTTGAAAATTTTGAGCAGTTCATAAATGCCCCAAATTTTATAAATTTGCTATGTCTCAGCTACTGGCTTTTACATTGGTAAATCAGTAGTTGTAACTTCCATGTACTTACTGAGGCTTGATATTCATCAAATGGTGTGGTCCCATGAAATTTTTGCCCAATTGAAACTCGTAGAAAGCATGCACACAAATTCACAAATATTTTCTAAAATATTCATAACATATAAATTGTATTTCATTCAATCCAAGATACTGTCAATGTAAAATATTTCATTTACTGATGCAACACTGAAAAAGATCGCATTGCTAGTCAGTTCCTGTCTGAGTTCAGAGTTGTTCAGAGGTGAGCACTCTGTCTCAGACGTGACTCGGGGAGATGGGAGTTTGAAAAACATACTTTTGATGGCACATAAGTATATTCATTGAAAGTCTATTGTGTATTAGCTACCTGCAAGGGTGCCTAAGAACCTTGCCAATAAGAAAAGGTTTCCTAGGAGCTAGAATTTTACTTTGAGGGTCTTTTACTAACACTGCTAGGCATGCAGTGCTAAGATGCTCAGAACATTTTTACTGAGAAGATGGGCTCTAGGTCATTTCCTTTTCTTTTTGGTGGTACCAGGAATCAAACTCAGGACCTTGCACTTGCCAGGCAAACACTTATTCCACCGAGCTATCTCCCTGGAGCCCTTGGCCATTTCCTTCTGTGACTTTCTATCCTCCCCCCTCCCCCCGCCACCACCCCATTGCATTGTGACTTTGTAGCGCCTGCCAGCAGCAGTGATTTGCTGCAGCCTTAGATTGCTGCCCATCTAAGACAGAGACAGTGGCTCCTTGCCAGTTCAGAGCCTAGGCTTCACAAGGCCTCTGGGCCCCTCCATCTCTTTGACAGCAGCTGTTCTCCTGGATATCAGCTATGGATACTGAAGCAACCACTTGCTTCAGTAGTGGAGTCCATCTTGGACCAGCTAGCCTGTAGGTGTCTCAGTAGCCCACAACAGGGGTCGGGGAGATAGCGGACAAAATGAGGCGGGCCAAACGCAGCCTGGCATGGCTTAGCCTACGAGAAGGCTCAGCCAAACCAGACCCCCCTTGGCAACCGGAAGACCACTTTCTGGAAGTGTCGGTTACTCAGGAGCTTCTCAATGACATGCCAGGCACCTTCCCTCCTCTGTACTGAAGATAGCCTGCAAGGGATGGGGACAAAAGAAGATACTGGCATGCCTTGTGCTCGTGGGACAGTGTGGACAGAAGACGACATTATTATGCAAGAGGTCAATTTGCTTCAAGGTCATGGCTCCTGTTCTAAAGGAAAGTGTTCGTTGCAAAATGGATTTTGAAATACTGCAAAATACACAACGCAACAGTGGCATGGGTGTGCCCCGACAGTAAACTTGTAGAGGATGGAGGAGAACGGGCAGCACGGGGAACGGGCAGAACAAGCTGTTCTCTGCTGTGGGCGTCTCTGCCTTCCATGCCGCATTCAGTCTGTTTGCCATCAGTTATTGCAACCTAAAGGCTGGCTGTGTTCTATGTTCTCTCTCTCTCTCTCTCTCTCTCTCTCTCTCTCTCTCTCTCTCCTCTCCACCCCCCTGTTGCCAATCCTTTGCATGCTTTGACTTCCCTGAGCAAATCTGAGGACACAAAAGAGCCCGAGCCAGTCGGGTCCACTGACAGCCAGACAGTTAGTAGCTCTGTGAAAGAAGTAGGGGAGAAAGTCTAGTTTATCTCCCATTTGGATTCTGATACTGCCTATTCTTTTTCTCTCTTAGAAAAAAGTCGAGCATAAATGTCCTACAGGGGGAAAAAAAAAAATTAGGGTATCTGCTGAAACAGTTTTCTGACAAATACATTCTTGACTAAAATTTCCAATATTCAAGGTAAAGATGGAAGAGATAAAGCTTTTCCTCCATGGTAAGCACTTATCAGCTTCTCAGAAGATGGGGACAAGTGGTTTTCAGACCTTACTCCATCCTTCCGCTTTCCTGGCCACAGAGAGCACACCCAGGTCACGGCCCAGCGGCAATTAGGTGATGGGCTGGGTGTTCTGCTTTTCCTCTGCTCTCGTTTCTGGGATGCAGTTGATTTACTTTCAGATGTTCTTTGGGGTTTTGCTCTGGCTCCACGTGGACGGTCTGGAGTTCTGAAGTGAGGCTGGTGCTCACTGTTCTCCAGGCCGTCTGCTGCTCTGAGGCGGTCGGTGGCCCAGCAGGCTGCAGCCGGCTTGTGGGTGCCGGGGGCGGAGCAGGCAGAGTCCTTTCCTTCCAAGAGTTATGCATCACCTGTGGAAGCAACCGGAACACAGCAGCAGTGGGCGCCACAGTGGCGTGACCCAGGGTGGGCTGCGGCGGAGCGACAGCGATTGATGAATCGTTTCCTTCCCAGGGATGCTTGCAGGGCCTGCTGCTGCCCTGCGGCGTGCGGCGCGCTGCCCTGCCTGCCCTCTGTCCTCTGGGCGGCCCAGTCCTTCCGTGCAGAGGCAGCTGTTCTCCCGGACATCAGCTGTGGCTTCGAGTGGAGAGGGCTAGGATAAAATTTGCCCGGGTACTGACGATGTGGAAGCGTCTGTGTGGTGCTTACTGTGCCAGCACGGCATTAACCGGCTCATGTCTCAGGAACTAACGCACGAGGAGGGCAGGAGGCTTGCAGTGACGTGACCTGAAAATCGTGAGGTCATCGGTTAATCCAGGCCGTCAAACTAGAGTCCGG